AGAATAGCAGTACTTCTCCATTTCTGCAAGGTTGGTAAGCAATTCTATCACACTAGTGGCATCGTATAATGTTGGCTAAGTCTTGTGGCTATATATTACCAACAGTGTTTATTTGAAAGTTTATTCCAGTGTCTTGCCCCATATACTTCCATTGTAAGTGCATTCCCATAAACATGATTCTTGGTTGCATTTAAAAAAAAGGATACATCTTTAAAAAATGGGATCAGTAGGGGAACAGTAAAAAAAAAAAAAAAAAAAAGCATCCATTTACTTGGAACACACAAGACGATATTTTCAAAAATACTATAGTGCTAATATTCATACAGTAAAAGTAAGTGGGATCCAGTGCTGTTTCTCATTGAATTTCATTGAATTTGTATTGTTTGGACAAAAATGGTTAAACATTCTTGAAAATATCTTAGCTTAACAGAAGAAAGAAAATAATACAGTTTGAAAGTAAAACCGATGAAAACTTAATATTTTTAGGTGAACTATCCCTCATTTTCAGGTTAAAATAGCTTAAAATCTAGATGAAGATATATTTACTCAAGAAGCAACTCTTTAATGCAAGTGTATTTTGTCTTACTTCGCTGGCAGACTTGTTTGAAGTATAAACAAGTTTAAAAAATGTAACAAATATGCTTGTGCACTGTGCAGCAAGACAAAATATACTTATATACCAGCGACATGCAGCTGCAAATTCTTTGCATTCCCAAGCCTTTTGAGAGAATGAGTTCAGGAACTGCTAACTAATATTAACAATACTATAAATTCCCTTGTCATTTGAGGTGTAACATATAGCTTACATTATAGAATGCCGGGAATATGTATGCAACTGTTATTTATTTGCCAAATGACGATAATTTTATGCAAATCTGAGCCAGTTTGGAGCGATTTGGATGACCGTATATGCTCTATTACGAGTCCTCATTATACTCATTGGTTCTCTGGCATGTGGGTGATTTCATGCACAAGAAAATGAATTGCTTGTCCAAAAAACTGTGCTGTAGCTGCCAGATCTTGATTATCAAAAATAAAATTGTATTGTATGCAAATTTAACTCGACTAAATCAAATAAACAATAAAATATGTATATGTTCATGTTTTCTCAAGCAAAGCTAATTTTAAAATGTCAAAAATCCAAATTTAAAATAATTTTTTTTTGCCACCAACAACGTATGTTGAAGGTAGGGCTGAACGATTAATTGCATTTGCGATAATATTGCGATTTGAAAAAACAAATTACACTTGGTCATGTGACACGCGAGAGTAAAGAGGTGTGTTCAACTTGATCGCTGTATCAAAGTACGGCGAGAGAAAGCATAAGGAGACGTCCGCTCTCTTATAGCTCTTGCAGTACTTTGACGACACACACCGATCGGTCTAAGCAGCGCTGCTTCAAGTCGAACACATCTAAGCAGTCTTCAGAGCATCAAGTTGGCACGCTACAGTGTTGCCAAGTCCGCGGTTTGGGGAACCCCTCCAAAAAATGTGTATTTTACCACCTGGAACGCGATTTTTACCGGTGAACCCCCCTCGAAACGCGATTGGGCTAGTTTTGAGTAGCAATTGGGCAGGTTTTGTTGTGAAAACCTGGCAACCCTGGCAATCTACACACAGAAATGTTTGAAAGCTTATATAATAAACATACTTCAAAACGGCACATTGAAATTACTCAAGCAGTAACAGTGTTACGGTGCATTTCATTACTGAAGACTTCGACCTTAAGAGTCAATATACTGTAATTGTAGTTGTTAAATAAAAATGTCATTCATATCAATTCATGCATCACCTAATTTCATTTGAACATATAGGCTGGCCTACAGAAAATAACATTTATGCTTAATCTATTTAATATTGTGTTTGGTCATACTATACAATGATTTATAGCTTGTCTTTGTTGAATAATACAGAACATAAAGAGCTTTAAAAAATAATTGCATATTAAATCGCAATCGCAATATTGGTAAAAAAAGATCACAATTAGATTATTTTCCAAAATCATTCAGCCCTAGTTGAAGGTACACATTATTTGGCAACATGCTTAAGCAAACTAACCTAAATGAAAAATGTTGAATATTTTTATTGTTCCATTTGTTTTCCCCATGCTTGACAAATACTGCATGTGTGACGTGTGTGTATGTGTGTGGGTAAGCATGTGCCAGAAATAGCCATTAGGAAAAGCCTCATAGCTGTTGGCTATTTGGTCATGGGTATTTTTTATTTGATAATAAATTAGATAGCATGCCACTGTTATATAGTAAAACTAAGATAGTCTAATGGAACAAGTCCTAATATCAAATGCAGTGATGCATTTTAAGTAAATGTATCTTGGTTTTACCTGGAAAATGGAACAAAAAAGACAAGTCAAGACATTTTTTGCACTAGAGCTAAAGGCTGATGAATTTTCCATGGAACACAAAAGACACAATGAAGACATTCACACAACTCTTTTCCACTAAGACCATGACTGTCAAGCTCCAAAAAGGACCATAAATGTCCCATTTCCATAAAGTAGTATGAATTGTGCACTGCATTCCAAGTCTTCTGCAGTCATACAGTACAATAACAGTGCGATGAATGACATTAAATTGCAGTCACTATTAACTGGAAATCATTAATTCTTCATTCAGTATATTCAAATTGGAGCACCATGAAATTTAAGCAATATTGGAGGGTTTTCAACTACTTAAAGGGATAATTCACCAAAAAAAAAAAAAATGCTGTTAATGTACTCGCTCTCAGACCATCCAAGATGACTTTTTATTCAGTAAGAAATGTTTAGCTGAAACCATGGTCCTTGGTGATTCATAAAATGCAAGTCAGTGGCTACCAGCACTTGAATGTCAAAAAAAGCATATACAGGTAAGACAAAAATTAATACCTATGGCTCCTGACAATATAGAAGAGGTCTTACAAAGCAAAACGATTGGTCTGTGCAAGAAACTGAACATTATTTACAACATTATTACATGTAATCCATAGGCTCACGCAAATGGGGAAATCCGATTCCTTTCTGCAAACTGGCTCTTTCGGTCAGTTTGTTTCAAAGAACTCGTTCAAATAACAGTTTCACCAGTTTGTTAAATAAAGTAAATAAAGCATGTAAAGTAAAGCATATAAAGTAAATAAACTAGTCTTCATCAGCCCATCTTTTTACATAAACCATGACAAACCATAAAAAAAACATTCATTTTACCCTTCATTCAAGTGCACAGTTCATGCATGCTCATATCAGCAGCTCATCAGTCTTCAGTCCGAGTTGGAACTGTTTCCTCAGTTCAGTGACGGTTGGAGGAACTGGAGCGCTGAATGAGTTGGCAAAAACCAGCATCATAGGATCATATATGCTGGTTTTTCTTGCATATCCCAATTGTTTTGCTTCATGAGACCTCAAAATATATTAAGAGCCACGAGTATTAATTTAATGTCTTGCTGTATATCCTTTTTTTGACTCGCAAGTGTCAGTAGCCGCTGACTTGCATTTTATGAATCCTCAAGCACCATGGTTTCAGCTAAAAATCTTCTTTACTTTTATACTGAAGAAAAAAAGTCATATATATCAATGCCTAAGAGTAGGTAAATTAACAGCAAATTTTCATTTTTGGATGAAGTATTCCTTTAAATTGGGGTATTTTTGTAATGTTTTCCTTTTTCTGAGTTTGCTCGAGGTTTTTGAGAGCTGCATGAACATTCTCTAAAATGTTGTCCATTTGTTTTCCACAGAAAAAAAAAACACAGCAAATGGTTTTGGAGCATATAATTCCTGAATTTTCATTTTTGTCTCAACTATCCCTTTAGGTTTTTCAGCTACCAGAGAAGCCGTCATTAAAGGTCCCCTGAAATGCTTAGAAACACGCAGCGTTACTCTGTGTTGACGTCATTTTAACTGAAACAAGAAGACAGGGCGGGACATATCAAGCAGCCCCTTTTTAAAATAGCCAATAGCGTTTGTTTATATCACAGCTTGGGCTAGAGCCGTTCAGAGCCGTTTAGCTCCGTAAAGCCGCATTTGACAGGGTATGCCAGCCACAATCTCATCCATATTGCTATAAAATATAGCATTCTGTGTAGAATTCAAATAGCGATACACATTTGATTGGACAGAAAGTTTGATGAGAACCTGAAGTACGATGTGACGTCAAAAAAATCGTTGAGCCGTTTTGGCGGAAGTGACGAACTACAAGCTTTGATGCTTATTAATGCTTATATCTTCTAAATGCGAATTTTGTCACTGTTTTGGAGCACACTGCCTTATAGATAACCTTAAGACTAACATATTGATATTACACCCAAAAAACTTTAATTTTGATTTCATGGGGACTTTAAGGGGTGTTGTGTTCAGCTGAACAATGTCTCCGAAACTGTATGAATGGCAATTTAATGCTGCACAGAGCAGAGGAGGGTTGATGGCTGGGAATTAATGCCTGTACTTTGAAAGCAGGTCTGCTCTTTCTGATGAAACCGGTGTTCTTTACAAAGCGCCTGGGAAATGGATTTTTCCACAGGTGCCAATATCTTCTCTAAATGGCCACGTGCTCTAATATGTCTTAATGATTGACCACTTTCATGAGCCCTGTGGGGGAGAGTTTCACTGGCTCAAGTTGCAGGGAATATAAGCGTCAGGACTGTGTGATGGAGGTACTGAGTCTGTGGAGGTGCTTTTATACAAGTCAAGGGAGCACATGTGCACTTAAAGTGTGATGGGACTTTATTTACTTCAACTTATTTCAGATTTTGAGAATCAATTTCACACAAACTAATTATTTCTTACCTGTGAAGGGAGATGCTTCTGTTCTGTATACAGCAGCTTCTATGTTGTTAGTCCTGGTCACCCTTTCACCTATAAGGTTCACTCGGTTTATGTTCTACACACAGGTGCTTCATTTTTCTTTTGAAAGAGATATCACAGCATTTTTGGGAGCTATATTGTAGATTATTTGAATATAGATCACTCAAATGCATGTTGAAATGACGTGATGATTTTATGTTGGCAGGATTCAGTCGGGGTCGTATCTCAGCACCGGTTGGTTCACACTCATTCTGGCCATGGACATGTGCAAGGAGATCCGAGTTTACGGCATGATCAATGACACGTACTGCAAGTAAGACTGACATGCAATCTATCACTTGACAATGGGCTTTAAAGAAGCTTCACCTGTTTCCAGAGTGAAATAGGAGAGCAGAGCTGATACAAGAGCAGCGCTGTGGGTTTCATTTAAACATTGGGGGAAGTGTCCACCCTGCCATAATACAGACATGCAAACAAATATCTTTGCTTCAGAATTCTTCACTAGTTATCATTTTAGATCATGCAATGTTGCAATATGTTTTATCATACTTTGAACCCGTCAAAAAAATATGTGTACCTAACGTAAAATAACACAATTGCAGTATGATTTGCTGCATGATAAGAGTAGTGCTACATTCAGTTCCATTGAGTGATTCTTTCATATTCGGTTCATTAATTTGAAGGTATACTCAGTAGCTGCCTCATTTTAGAAATGTAACCATTACATTCCAAAGTAAGAAAGAAATTACAATGATTTATACCTCACAAGGAATAACAGTTCGCTTTGCAATGATTACTTTTCTGAAATGAGACATCTTGGATGAAGCATGCAGCTAACAAATGTGAACTTCGGAGGGCACAACCTACGAAACGAGACACAAGGAGTAGTTTTTGGCTGCATCCAAAATCGCATACTATATAGTATGTGAAGAACAGTATGTGAAAAGACTGGTATGTTTGGATTCACAGTATTCATAAAACAGTAGCTGAAAACATCCCAGATGACCTACTGCTTCTGGTTAGATGGTAAAGTGTGCATCTGATATGGAGAGATACGGATGATAACAAGAGGTAAAACAAGAACCAAGTGTCTATTCATAATAAATATAATAACAGGTGTATAACATAATTAGTGTCCATGGCAACAAATGAAAAGCGTGAACAAAGAAAACAGGAACATAACACAGGAAAACCAGTTAGAATATACTAAAGGTCTAAAAACCAGCCACAGGAGAGGATTTGTGAATGACAGCAGCGGTCACTGTAGGTCACCATGGCTAATGCAGTATGTCCGGATTAAATTCATACTACATACATTCATGCTATATAGAATGTACTTTTTTAACAGTCATGAAGTAATTACTTGTTCAAACAAAGTACCTGCTCAAACTAAGTGTATGTGATTTCATTAGCAGTCTTTGTTTGCTGATGTTGCGCTGACCGATATGTAATATTGAACTAATACTGACACCTAGAGGTGTGGATGTAGCATCAAAAAACACAAAAGCAACCGTTTTCGGTTACCAGTCATTGTAGAAATACTCTACTGCCACGTAAGGCATAATCCACGGCTAAGTGTGCATTTAACGATTTTATACAGGGCTGTTCAATGCATGAATCTGATTGGTTGAAGGAATGTTCTATGGTGTGCACTTAATTTTGTATTGGTAAAGTAGTTCCAGGCAGGTCTTGACCACATCAAAAACTATAGAATACCCAAGACGTGTCACTCGTATAGTTTTGAATGGGTAAAATGCAACTCTCAATATTGCTGCTCTATCGAAGGAAGCCCTGCCTTCTGAGTAAAAGAGCCAATCGCTAATCGATAAAGTCATCAGGTCACTACAGCTGCCGTTAGAAGTCCCGTTTGCTATAGAAACAGTCAGCTTTCTGAGACGCACGCTTACGACTGCGCACTGGCTGGTCTAGCCTGAAAATAAGCTTTTTTTAACGCCATTTGAGGAAAAGAAACAACATTTATGAACCAGTTGTTGTCAGATTTCACTGGTGATTTCAAATATGAAATTTAATCTTAAACTTGGCGAACAGTTTTGGAGAATTTGATGTTTCCCCATTCAAAGAGATAGGAGCTGCACTTGCATGCCAAGAGGTGTTTCAAAGATGGCCGCTGAGTGAAATTACTTGCCTTAAAGGGAGTTTGATTACATTTCCATATCACTTCAGCACATGTCCATATCCATATGTTTTCAGTTATTTCAAAGGTCCTTACAGCCTAAAATATTTCCATAGGGGTGGCCTAAGTAGGGGCCTGTAACCAGTCTTCTTTACTGTCCTCCACTGACCATGATCACTTGCTAGTGGTCATACTGGATGCATTAAAATAACTGTTAATTTGGTTAATTTACAAAGTTATTTTATCTACGTTTTAACGCACAATCAGAATAAAATATTTAGATAGACCACAGTGAATGATAACTTTATTACAGATTAATTGAAAGTATTACGATTAATGAAGATTAAAGAATAATTTAAGTGAAAGTATATTTTAATGGGGAGGTAAGCGACAAGCATTCAGCTGGTCATGTTTCTAGTAATTAGCTGATCATATTTGAAACACTCTTTCCAATAGTATTATTGTTTTATTTACTAGTATTTTGAGAAAAGTAAAATTTCTTGTTTTACTTTAAAAATAATTTTCTAAAAAAGTATTTTGGGCTCTTTCATCCTTACTGCAATATATTGTTACCAAAATTGCCAAAATAGTCTGACTGTTGTCTGGTTTTCTAACACACTGTTATGCATGTCTCCTGACACTGTGATTCTGTAGTTCACTGGCTGCATATAAACCCCTTTACCATGAATCTCACACTATGTTTCCATTTTAATGATAGTGTCCTTAACTACCTCACGCCCCCCTCTGCTGCAGATAGACATAAGCATAGCACGCAATGATGTGATTAGCGTGTTTGTAAAGAAGCTATTATAGTCTGTTTTCCCAGCCATTTATTCATTTTGCTCTCCCTTTCAAAACAATGAGCAATTTTCATTTCACAGCAACTCCCAGACACCTGTAAAGACTGGCAAATGAGAAAACAGTGGCTACAACAAAGTTATTTTGATGAAAGGCAGTTCTTCTGGGAAGTTTCTATTTTAGGATACAGTGCAGAGCTGTTGTTGTAATTGACCTCGCTGGATTTTTTGTAATTAAAATTCAACAGGTGCTACTGGGAGAGAAAAATTGAATCTATTTGTGAGGGGAAAAAGTCCTTCTGAGCTACCATTTCTCCACAGAAATTCTCCTTATAGACTCAGAGCACTCAGTCTTTGAATAAAAAGTAGCAATGGGTTAAAGCTTCAACAACATCAAAACTGCTACAGGCTTCCTGGTCTTTATTGTGCACAATTCATCAGTGCATCACAGAGAAAAACATCCTCGTTTTTCATTTTCCAATGTTTTTTCGGTTTCACTCAGAAATACGTGATGCAGAAATAAAATAGATGGTAAATGCCTTTTAAAATATCCTGAAAATGACACTTTATAGTATGATTTATAGAGATGGAATAACAAAGTAACATTTATTTATTTTTACATTTTAGATCAGAAGGCTACAGGAAGGTGCCGTACCACTATTATGAAGCAGGAAGTCGTGACGAATGTGCCGAATACCTCCTGCACGAGAGTGCCCCTTACGGCGGGCACCGGTTCATCACAGAGAAGGCTGTTTTCGCAAAGTGGGCTAAGACGCACCCCATCAAGTTTTTCAGTCCAGAGTGGCAGCTGTTATGACCAAGACTCCCTTTCTTTCAGAATATCCCCTGATACTACAGCTCTGTTGGCTCGTTCCTCCTGCATCGTAAAGTAATGCTCACAAAATGTGCCACGCAATGGCTAAACAAATCATTCCAATTGCGATTTCAAATAGCAGTTGTCTGAGTGAAGTAAGTCCCATCGTGACCATGAAGAGAGGTTTGGTTTCTAATGAACCTCGTGTTGATATCACGGAGAAGGCTGTTTTCGCAAAGTGGGCTAAGACGCACCCCATCAAGTTTTTCAGTCCAGAGTGGCAGCTGTTATGACCAAGACTCCCTTTCTTTCAGAATATCCCCTGATACTACAGCTCTGTTGGCTCGTTCCTCCTGCATCGTAAAGTAATGCTCACAAAATGTGCCACGCAATGGGTAAACAAATCATTCCAATTGCGACTTCAAATAGCAGTTGTCTGAGTGAAGTAAGTCCCAACGTGACCATGAAGAGAGATTTGGTTTCTAATGAACCTCGTGTTGATCATGGTGTGATCAAATAGTGTATTTTGCATGTTCTCGTTTTATACTCATCTGGACAAGCAAGTACTGTATGTTTTTCAGAGCACACGTATTGCAAAAAAGATCTACAAAGAATGTCACATCCTTGCTTTAGCTTTCATCACCTCAAATGGGCTCAATTTAGGGCTGGCCGATATACCAAATTATCTATAAAGTTATACAGTGGGTATAGAAAAGAATCACCCCCCTTTAAAATAATCACATTCTGTTGCTTTGCAGCCTGAAATGAAGACGGACACAGGTTTTGTTTTATCCAGCTGTATTTACTCAGTGCAACTTATAACATCTAAGTGAAAGATATAACTCCAACATTTAATAAAAAAAAATAAAAAACCAGAATCACTGAGTTGGAAAAAGGATCACCACTTTGTGACAGTATTTTGTTTAACCACATTTTGCTTTAATTACAGCCTTTAAGGTAATGATACACGGGGCAACTTTTTGAGTAGTGTTGCTGGGAAATGTTGCTGTCAATGGGCAACCAGGTGAGACGCAGGGCCCACACCAATCTAACGTATCCAGATAGAAATTGGTTGCCCATTCTCAACGGTAAAGTGCCCAAGCAACATTGCTCAAAAAAGTTGCCCTGTGGTATCATCACCTTTAGTCTGTTGGGATATGTCTCTACTAACTTTACACTTCTAGACTTTGCAATATTTGCCCACTCTTCTTTGCAGAACTGCTCAAGTTCAGTTAAATTTGATGGTGACAGTTTGTGGACTGCAGTCTGCAAGTTATTCCACAGATTTTCAATGGGATTTAAAGGTCCCCTGAAATGCTTAGAAACATGCAGCGTATGTCAGAAAAAAAAGAAAAAAAAACAGAATCACTGAGTTGGAAAAATGATCACTCCCTTGTGTCAGTATTTTGTTGAACCATCTTTTGCTTTAATTACAGCCTTTAGTCTGTTGGGATATGCCTCTACTAACTTTGCACATCTAGACTTTGCAATATTTGCCCACTCTTCTTTGCAGAACTGCTCAAGTTCAGTTAAATTTGATGGTCATTCCACAGATTTTCAATGGGGTTTAAGTCTGGGCTCTGACCAGGCCATGAAAGGACATTCAGCTTTTTCTCCTTAAACCACTGTGTGCTCAGTTTTACTGTGTGTTTGGCTCATTGTCATGTTGGAAGGTAAACCACCTTTTGACCACTTTCTGGCAGAGGGCAGCAGATTTTCCTCAAGAATTCGACTGTATTTTGCTCTATACATTTTTCCTTCTATCCTGACAAGTGCTCCAGTCCCTGCTGCAGAGAAACACCCCATAACAGGAAATTTCCGCCTCCATGCTTTATTGTAGGGATGCTGTTATTTGGATGATGAGCTGTATTGGCTTTCCGCCAGACATATCGTTTGGTGCTGAGGCCAAATAATTCAATTTTAGTCTCATCTGCCTCAGAATCTTCAAGGTGTGTTTTGGCAAAGCTCAGTCGTGACTGCATGTGGCCTGTCTTGAGGAGTGGCTTTTTTCTTGCAACCCTCGCATACAAGTCACTGTGACGAGAGGGGCAGGGCCGAGAGCCGTGGGAACGGAGCGAGGCCGGTGGAGTAAATGCTAATGCGCGACACCTGCGCCACTCACCGGTCTCAAGTCCGACGGAGGAGCTCCGGAAGGATAAAAGTATGAGTGGCGACAGTGTTGGACGAGATAGGACCAGGCCTGGACTTTATTTTGTGTTTTGTGTGCACAAGGGGCTGCCGCTTTACTTTCATTTTGTGTTGGTTTATTTTATTAAAGTGTTTAAATGTTCGCCGGTTCCCACCTCCTTCTTCCCGAACTACGAACTTTGTTACAGCCACATTTGTGGAGAATTTGTGATATTGTTGTCATATGCACATAATGACAACTCTTTGTCATTAATTTCTGCAACTGCTTCAGAGTTGCTGTAGGCCTCTTGGTCGCCTCTCTGACCAGTTTTGACCTCCGGCTCTTTCATTCAGTTTGGAGTGACGTCCTGATCCAGGGAGGGTCTGTGTTGTACCAAATACCTTCCACTTCTTAATGATAGACTTCACTGTGCTTCTAGGCATTGATAAAGCCTTTGAATAATTTTTTTTTGTATCCATCTCCTGACATGTGCATGTCCACAACTTTATCCCAGAGATCTTTTGACAGTGCCTTGCCACCCATAGTTGATTGTTTGCTTCAGTTGCACTACCAAGGACTTAAATGCTCCAGGAAAGCTCTTTTCATGCTGAGCTAATCAAAATGACCACAGCTGATCACAGCTGAATGTCAAATGGCTTTGTGTGCTATTGAGAAGGTGATTGGCTACACTTGATTGAGTTTAAAAGTAATTTTTTAGGAGGGGGGTGATCCTTTTTCCAACTCAGTGATTCAGTTTTTATATTTTTTATTTTTTATGAAAAGTTGGTGTTATATCTTTCACTTGGATGTGTTATAAGTTGCACTGAGTAAATAACAGCTGGATAAAACTGTGTCCGTCTTCATTTCAGGCTGCAAAGCAACAAAATGTGATTATTTTAAAGGGGGGTGATTCAACACCCACTGTATATTTATATTTTTCAGCTTTTTTTTCAGTTTAGAGACTTGTTTTTTACAAGTTAAAAGTTGAACTACTTTTAACTTGACCACCCCGTTTTTAGACTGCTGTCACTTTTTTTCCCCCCAGTTATAAACAATTTCAACATCCATTGTAGCCTCTTAGATTTAAAATGATTAATGCAAAGAAATAAAGTACATGCTTTTTTTTTTTACCCTACATAAACCCAAGGAAGAATAATATTTAATCATTATAATAATTTATCTGAACCATTATTTTTACAACCAGTATATTTTTTTAAACAGCCATTGTTAAACTACCCTATGCCACAGAGAATTCTGTGCAAACAAATAGCTGAATCAAAATTTTGAATCAACTAATTCACTAAAATTAATTGAATTTACAAACTCTAATGAAGTTTAGACTTTAGTAATGGTACTAAATCAGATCAAATGTTTCTGTTTAAACACTCTCATTCTCAAGTTTGACACAGTCTTTAGGAAACAATAGACAAATTAAAATTACATTAAATTATGATGATTCACAATGCTTCTTATTTTTATATTGCCTGCAACATAATCTTGTTATTTTTACATAATCTTATTATTATGTTATGGCTGTTTCTCATAGACAAGCATTGGACTGAAACCAATCTTAAGAAAACTTATGTCACTGTTAAATGTTTTACTTTTAATTAGCATCCTTTGAACTGCTTAATAGGTCATTCAGGAACTTATTATTCCCCATGTTTTATTTATTCCCTGAACAAAGGAATACATGAGTAGAATCCATGTTTGTTGATCTGAGACTGTAGAATACAAAGTGATATTCTGTTGTTACATGCCATGACAAGAAAGCAGCATTGCTTACGATATCTAGGTCTGGAACAAGACATGAGGAACGATTCAGAATGACTGAATTCGGATGTCAAGACTGTGCCTGTATGAAGTGTACCATATATTGCAACCTATCTTCATTTTTTATGCCTTATTTGCTTATTTAAAAATGACACTCCTGTCCTCCACTTGTCAGTATCCTGAATTCCCATGAGATGAAGCTACACTGTCCCTGTTGTCAGATCAGCAGGTTAATCTGATCATCTACTGTAGCTAAGTATCGTAGCATCTTATAAACCAGCAGACAATGCAGCGTCTTTGGTGCTCCCCTACTGCTTTGAGACGTCCGCTGTGCTTGGCGTCGTTTTTCCCCATCAAACACTTCATGCACTCTTTTTGCATGTATATCAAGAACATTCATCATCGCTGATACTGTGCTTAACAAGTTTTCGTATCAGCTTGTGATTCTGACATCATCTGGCAGCTCAGCTCGGACAGCCTTTCTCTTTAATGCACCACTCTGTGCATGTTTGACCAGCACTGCGACATCGTGTGAGCACCGTCACAGTTTTTTCCCTGGAGAAAAGATGGACTGAATGCACTGGCTGTGTGAAGAGAGAATTATATACGGCATGAGAATATGAGAGTGATACACAGAACGGGAAACAGGCGCCAGTGCTGGAGCACCTTGATGAGATACTGCTCACTCCTCTCTGGCCAACCTGTTCATTAAAACAATTGATGTCAGCTCAATTTCTCAGAGTGCTGACCCAGGATCGTCATTTCCTGGCCTCTGTATTGATTTTGTTCACCATGTGACATAAAACAGAGCTGGTCAAGAAATGGCACTTTCACTCTGCGATGTATTTTTGACTGTAGTTTCTGTTGTTCATGCCTCAGTCATACCTGATGTTTTCATGACATACACTTCATGACCAAAAGTATGTGGACAATGCAAAAATAATTTTTAGTATTTTTGACTTGTTTTCCCTTAACAATGTAATCTAAAACAAAAACGAAATACATTTACTGGAGAAACTAAGTAGTGTAAGATAATTATTTTCATATTTTATCATGTTTCTTGTTTTATCACGTTTTTCTTACCCCCTGTGTGTGTGTGTGTGTGTGTGTGTGTGCGTGTGTGTGTGTGTGAAGCATAAACCTCACTAAATGTGGTTGTATTTATACTTGAAGCAAGATAATGATAATTATAAGAAAATTATTTTATATAAAAATTTTTACAACATCAACACCATTATTATTGTTGTTAGTAATAATAATAATTATTACTACATAATTTATTTATTTATTCTTTATTAATTTATTACTATATAATAATTATATAATTACTTTTATAATAATAATAATTATTATTATTATTATCATCATCATCATTATTATATAGTTGTGTGTGTGTGTGTGTGTGTGATTTCCTAGGGATCATGTGAAAGACAGAAAATTCAGCTTTACCATCACAGGAATTGTTTTTTTTTATTATTATTGTAAT